GTGTGGGGATTTATCATTGCAGTCTATGGAAATTTATTTGTAGTGGTGCAACCCTATGTGCATGCAGTGCATGTGCAGTGGGCGTGGTTTAAACTAAAGTGATGTCACACTTACGAACTGGATAGAGACTTGACGTCCATACTGAACTAGTCTTGGTCAAGACATTGGGGGCGCGCTTCATGATGCATGCCGCTTGACATCGCGAAGCTGGTACCACGGACATGTATAATAAAATCTGGACTCGCAATGCCCTTAATCAGCTTAATCAGCCGAATACAAAGCTTTCCTGGCAATGCCCGCCTTTGTTCTTCCTGACGTCAATAGAAGGGAGCCAACCCGCTGGTTGGCTTCTTTTTCATACAAAGGCGTTGCAAGTCCAGTTTTTTTTTTATATATGTCCGTGGCTGGTACGTACATAAACAATTAACGGGATTTCTTTCTGTAGGGAGGTGCACCCGCTATCATTCAGTGACAACGTTTGACGAACAAAGGTCTTGACCAAGACTAATACTGAACAGGTAGTTAGATGGGCCAGTGAATGTGAAGTCGGCGAAAGTACAGAGAACGATATTGGTGTCCTGTAGAGGGCAGCCTTCGGCAGACGATGGTCGGAAAGTTGACGCTCCGACTCCAACAGGTCTGGACAGAGATCTTTATGCCAGAGCACCGTGGCACCAGCTTTATCAATTCTTTTGATAACAAAGTCGGCATCCTTGAGTGAACGCAAGGCTTGCCGCTCCGCTTTGGAGATGTTGGACTTAGTGTAGGGGGTGCGAAAGTCGATGCGGCGCATATCAGAGCGGCAATTATCAGTGGCCCGGTCCAGAGATTTGTTGAGACCTGTGGGTGGGCACCAGTTGCACGATTTAGGGACAAGTGTATCAGTGGTACTGGCACCAGGACTGTCGTCAAAATGAGGAGTAGTAGACGTAATGTCTGTGTTTTTTCATGGAAAAATGCTTTAAGGCGTAGACGACGAAAAAAAACATATCAATATCTTCTTGAGTAGAAAACTTATCGATAGACGCGCTGAGAGTGACAAAATCCAAACCACGCTGAAGAACAGAACTTTGGGCGGCAGTCAGGTGTAAATCCGGGGGAATGGTGACCACCAAACGTTCCGTCGCCGAAGTTAGGGGTGGACTTCCTGAAGAAGGCTGGTTGGAGTTAGGGCTTAGGGACTGCAGTTTACTCTTCTTACCACACTTAACTCAACGTTAAGCTCCCAATTCAGGTCGTGAATGATTCCTCAAATCAGATATGCATGTTGGCCAGTGGAAAGAGAGTACAGTTGTCGACGGGCATTACTAATCTGAACATTGATGGTGCTGATCTAATCGCAGAGAGTGTCTTAAGTACATCTCACGAGTTTGAGGGAAGAGGACGTCAAGATGCGATGTACACTGTCAAGATAACAATGATCGCCGGGGCGAGGCCAGATGGGTGACAGTTTAACTCAAACCCATCTGGGATCAGCTTGCATTTGATACACGTACTAACGAAGTTCCTGTGGCTGCAGAATCTTGTTTTAGTGTAGATAGCGGAGGCAAGCTCAAGCAACGCCTCAACAACGACAGTCGAAGAATCAGGCAGGCTTTCCAAACGACGTTGACGTACTGTAGATGAAACTTGGAGATCAAACGGGTCATAACAATGAAGGGTCTTAAAAGTTTGCAGCGGAGAAAATGATGACAAGTGAATAGAAGTGCTACGTAGCACTGTAGAGCGTCAAAGAAGCGTTAGCCAAAAAATTGAAGAAGTGCCAAACAGACGGAGTGTCTCAAGACAATTTTCCTAATGTCCAACGATCCTAAACTGCCAAAATCACCACAGCATTTTGGTCCTATATACAGCGACTTTCGCTTACTTCACAACCCCAATCCTGTCAAACCTGACAAACTTGAAAATAAGTAACCCAAACGCAAACGCTCTCACCCGTACAAACGCATAGCCTACATCTATGTGTCAGTCTATAACAGAGACCATTACTGAACAGGTAAGGCCACCATTTTCCTTCACATCATACAACTACAAAACTTAATTTTCTAAAAACGAGATTGCTTGGCTGAAAACAGTGGGGTTGTTTAAAGATATCTAAGGACCAACCTCCTGGGTTGAGTACTTCCTTCTGAGAGCGGGCTTGATAAAAGTACGGTTGAGAAATAGGTCCTAATTGTCTGAGAAAGTTGAGGGATGCTATTTGGTAATGGTTGCATGGAGGCTTAAGAACAATCACTTTTCGAGAGGTGTGCTTGTATCACAGTGAATACTTGAAAATGTAATGGGATATGTTTTCGCCAATGAAGCACCCTGCTATAAAGCCTTTTTGACTGTCACGAATAATATGAGAAAAATACTGTTTCAGCCTCTCCGCAATACAGGCAGAGGCAATTTTATATAGGGTATTCAACAAGGTGACAGGTCGCCAATTTTTCAAACACTGGCCGGGTATATCCCCTTTCGGTAACAAAGTATTGACACCATTTTCTGGTCTGGGGATTGTTAGCTTGACTCTCTGGAGCCTGAACCTTAATCCCCAGGGCTGCCATTCTAATCTTTCTAGGCCAAGCCATGTAAAATGTTTCTTTTGTAAGACTCTTTGAGTGAAGAGGGAATGTGCTAAGACTCTATAAATTGGGTAGATACTCTCAAGCCGGGTTCTCTGTTGACCATACCACCACGGGCAGGCGAGACACTGATAGCACAGATGATCCAGCTACTACCGGTGTCCAAGTCAAGCTACCTTGAGTAAAAACGATTGCAGTTACACCATGGATCAATATCTTTCTTGAGTATGTGTGGTTCTGAGAAGAACCGGGGAATAACTCGACGTTTAGGACAGTGTACTCTGTCTGTCTTCAGGAGACTGCAGGATTGCGACTGGGAGTGGAGCTTATATGGTGATCTAGATGTAGGGATTAGCTCGTTGAAGCGCTGGGGGTCCTGCCGGTACTTGTGCGAGGTGAGCAGACGTGGAGGTATCTGGCCGTGGGGTGGGCTTGCGGTAGACCGTGCGGGCTAGGCTGCCATCCTCATTTCTGGTCACCTCAACATCACGAAACGAAATGTTGCCATTACGTTCTTGTTCCATGGTGAACTAGATGCTGCTGTGAAGCCCGTTGAGGTGTTCCAGAAAGAGTCGCAGAAAGAATCTGCTGCCTGGTGACGAAAGTGTCGTCCACGTATCGGAGCCAAACTTTGGGTCTGTGGTCTATTGAGTTGATGGCGAGCTGTTCAAATTCCTCCATGAACATGTCCGCCTGAACCGGGGATATAAGAGTTCCCATGGAGGCTCCAGCTGACTGTTCGAAGAAGTTGTCCCGCCAGCGGAAGCTCGATGAGTTGACAC